TTTGATTTGCAGTCAATTGGCAGCCAATCGGCGCACAAATCCTTATCTAAACTCGTAATCAATGTCTCAATCATTGAGTTCTTGTCATCGGATTCCGTATAATGAGTGCCAATGAAGTCAAAGAGTCCGTCGTCTGTGACAGCCATCAGACCATACGTTATGTCCACCTCTTCGTCGTTATACTGAACGTCAAGATCTGCTCTCAAGAGTGCCTTCACTTCAATACCACTGTTGACGACACTGTTGTCCACCAGTAGATCACCCGTGGATTCAATGGACTCCATCCACACCTGGTCTTCGGGACTCACGAGTGATAACTTCTCAATAGTTTCGATGATCTGTTGTCTCGCGTTTCCGGCGAATCTTTGGCGCAAAAAGTTTGTCATAAACTTCTTGTCTGAACCACCGATTGGTACCCGAAATAGGCCTAAAAATCAAAGACATCACTCGTGATAATCATAAGACATACCACTGTTAGTGAGGAACTCATACCTAAAGACTCGGACGGGAAGTGTTGGGCATTCATGTGAGTCCTCTCCAGTTGTGTCAACTCATCGACAGTGAGTTCTTTGGCGAAGAAGTGCTGAATGTATGGCGGGTTGTCCTCCCGATGCGAGCAAATCCAGTCCTCTCGAGTCACACCATTCAAGTGATAATTGATCTCTTCTTCGAGCTCTCGGTTCGTGGCGTCGATAATGTCATCGACGGTCACGTCCTCGACATCTACTTGTCCTCCGGGACACCCGAGCTCTCCATTGTCTGTCAATTGAATCAAACCGTAGACAACACGAGAACTGTTGGCTGAAGTATAGAGCAGACAATGGGAGGCATGTCTGCAGCCCTTCATACTAATGGACTCCTCAAGAGATATCGGGATATACTGCACACCACTCGTGAGCGCCTGTGAAGACATTTTTAGTGACATAAACTTTAAGCCTTTGGTTGGAAGTGATTGTGTGATGAATACAAGCGATTGTCACTTATTTATATCAAACACTGATTGCCATTCATTTTGCTTACAATTTATAAGTTATAATCAAAGTATTGCTTAAGAGTTAGAAATCACATGAAACTTGTGTTTGTGTTTTAAACTCCGCCTAAACTGTCAAATTCAATGACATTTCACTGATTTATTAACGTTTAGATT